TGGCCGCTTCCCCCTTCCTGAAAATGGTGTCTGTAAAATCAACAAAAGGAATTAAAATGAAAAGAAAAGAATGAACAGAGTAGATGAGTGTCTTAGTGCTATGGGGCAGAGTTAACTGGATTCCGGTGGGTTTGCAGTAAGAACTGCACGCTGTTCTGCTTCACAAAAGATACATGGATAATGCATGAGATGTGGGCGATTAAAATTTATCTTGTACTCCTCTTGAGTAAACTACGGGACCCATGGGACCATGGGAATCCGATAGCAATCTGAAGCAAGCCTTTCCCGAAATCAATTTCAAAGGAAAAGACCATATTGCAATATTGCACGATTTGTGTCCAGGATGAATTCGCTGCATCTCAACATGGTGCGTACTGCAGAAAATAAAACATTTATATAGGGAGATAGCATGGCAAAAAGGAAAAGTAAAATACAATAAACAGATAGCCAGAAATAAAAGGTGGGAGTGGTAAAAGGCTTACGTCACGTTACGGTAAGGACAAACTAACAGGAAGTTCTTTTTGTTGACATAAGGGGGCTTCCATCGGATGATAGCAATCGCTTCTGCAAATCTTAGCAATCTTGCGATTCGTGGCTTGTAGATAATCCTTAACGTCATTCTTCGGTCTATCTGGTGTTGAGTCATCAGAAAATGTCGAGCTATGGCTGATGACGGAGTCTTGTGGTTTCGACCGTTGTTTCTATGCCGCAGACTTGACCCCGATTACGTCATCGGACTTTGAACCCAATGCGGAATATGTTTAGCCACCCGACTACATAATTGTCGTCCTGTTCTGCCCATATACGTCTCTCCGCACCCACACTGGAAGTGGTAGATCGGATAATAATGTAATTCTCAAATATCTTTGTGAGTGAAAAACTGAATGGTTTCATTTTGGCAGTGTTACTAAAAATCTCTAACGGTTTTGTGTCAACGTTGAGCAAACGCGATCCTATACAAAAAAACTGTTTAATCCAGATAAGACTACATGAACTTTGAAGAAATTGAAGGACCAAGCACGATAGTTGTAAGTAAAAATTGATTTTCACACATTTTTTATTAAATACTTTGGATCGGATTAAATCGAATTGAAATGACCTGAGAGGCTGCCGTAGCCTCTGAATCCAATTTTATTTCATGTCCGTGTAAATTATTTCTTTTTTATTGAAAAGCATTTTCAAAATAGNNNTCAGACCTTTTATTCACTTTATATATGCACGATGATGTAACCCTTCTTTCCAAGCTTGATTTGAAACTCTCATCTCGCACATCTCAAGAAAAGTGGACATTATTCTTTTATTCTCCCTGTTGGGTCCCGACTTCGTTCCTCGGTCCGGTCGGAAAAGTTTTGGGGATAGGTCGGACATTTTTCGCTTTAACCCACCTCACTGATCACTTCCAGTCCTATTCTGTATTTAATCACACAAAATGCAACACTATATAGTTTTGGCAACTTTGTGAAAAACCGAAAATATAAGGACAATGTTGCTGGTACGCGTTTATGAAATCATCTATCACACGCGTTTTCTCTATTCACATTCCAGGGTACCTTCAGTCAGCATAAGGGAAGTGACATCGATTACGCCGGTGCTGGCTCAGATTCCGCGATTCATCAAGAGTATATCACTGTTATCGAAGGCTCCCCAACAAGGATGGAAATGAAAATAGACTTTGATGAAAACTGCGGTAATTGTTATCTATGGTCGCTTGTGGTTGTTCTTTTATCATCAAAAGATGACTATTTTCTCACTTCAGCTCTAAAGGGTAAAACGTAAAGGATAAAATATCAATGCATCTTGTGAGGTTCCACTGAAGGATATCTGAACTTATTTCCGGTTTAGGCAAATAAGATAATTACGCAAAAGAGAGTTACTCGAAGTCGTAATCAATGCACTCTGTGCTAATCTATGCCCACCTACGCATAGACAGTCTGCATTAGGCTTATATACCAGATTAACTCAGAATTCGGCATGCGCCAAGCAAACATTTTAGATATTCCATAACCGATTTTCTCTGATTCTACTTACTCGGTGTAGCCTCATGTAATCAACAGGTCAAACAAAATTTCAGTTTCAGTCTTGACAATCATTAACCATGCACTTTCGTGCGTCAGTTTGGTTGCTTCTTTTGGCCGCACATTTGGATAAAAGAGAAGGATGAAGATTGGAGTATCGAGAGAAAATTCAAGCGGAAGATAGAGAATTCATATAGACCAAAGTTACAAGAATAATGAGTAGATGCATGAGCGCCATTGTTTGCGACAGCCAGTCATACCACCCAGTGTATCTAACCATCGGTGATCATGATCTCGGGGTCCCCAGCCAGGTCGCCTAACGGGACCTATGTGACCTAGTTTCCTGGTGAGGTTTTTCATACCCTCGTTCCAGGTCTTCATTTGACCTCCTTTGATCTTTTTTCCAACCGCTACCTGCCTCGGCACACATCGCTCGCCGTGGCAACCTATCTAGTGACATGACTAACACATGCCTCAACCAACGTAATCTATGGAGATCGAATACTTGCTCCAGTGGGCGACCGCATTTATTTAAACTCTACGCTTAACTTCAGCATTGCTCGTCCAGCTGCCCCATCAGATTCGTGCACTGCCGCGTAGACAGCGGTGTTTGAACACCGATAATCTATTTTTATGATCTTAACATAATGGCCAAGTCTCCGCCCCGTATAGCGGAACTGGCCGAACTGCTTCAGCATACACTGGATACTTCACTGACAACCGAATGTTGCGACGGCGCTACAGATCTCTCCAGTTGACAAATGACAACCGAGCCTTTTGTATGCGTGCCGACACTTCATCTGTGATGCATCCGCCGCGTGAAATATAGCTGACCAGATTGCAAATTTTCTGTACCTCCTCGATTAATCCCCCAATTAGAGTGAGGTTGGGGGCTGAATCGACCCAAACTTCTCGCAACATTTTACACTTTAGGGTGCAAAACGCACGCTGAGCATGGCTACACTAGTACTCAAACTATCCAGAAAAGCCTGCAACTTACCTGGATCTTCACTTAGCAGCACAATGTCCTCTGCATACTCGAGATCAGAAAGTTTGCCACCTGGAAGTGAATCGATTCCGCTATCCTCGCACGAGGATAAGGCTGTTTCAATAATGAAATCTATGACGAAAATAAATGGAAAAATACGAGAGAGGACAACCCTGTAGAACACAACTTTGTGCAGTCAACTCGGATGAAAAGTGCCGTAAGCTTGGACTCGGTTTCCGCTATTAGTACAGAGCGATTGTAATATTTAAATAAACTTCTCGGGCACATACTTTAGGGCGAGATAGGGCCAGAGTTTGGAGCGTTCTACGGAGACAAAAGGCACTTTAAGTTAGATAAAGATAGAAATGATTGATCTGCGAAAGGAGTGTCTGTGTTATAGAATTTGACGACCTCGACCAGGTCTAAAACCAGCCTAACTCTCACGCGTGCACTCTTCACGTGCGGCAGACAACCGACAGAGTATAATCCCAGCAAGAATCTTAGAGACAGTATTGATTAACTAATTCCTTTGTGGTTTTCACAAGAGAATCAAACAACTTTGTCGAGTCTAATTCCTCAACCCATTCAGATGACTAGGTATTGTCAAGTAAAATTTGTGATTTTTCTCAACTTAAATCATAAGAATTTTCTCCCTTTACATCCTTTGTTTTCCGCGATATCCATTGGTGAAGAACATAATCGCATTTTCAGGGTCGGTGGACTGAACCACTATTCAGTGATTGATGAGCTCTTTTTTACAAACCCCTTAGTTTCATTTTCGATGACAAGAAGTTAGTAATTAATGGGTGGCAAAGAAATCAAATCCCAAACGGAAAGGGTTAGTTTTGCTCCTATAAGAGTAGCTTGATACTACTTGAAAACGCGAAATAATGACTGTTCCCCCTTGTACATTCGCCTCCCCTCACCTCGACATAAGTACACGGTTAAAAAAGGGGAAATCAATGTGCATCCAGTGAATGATGAGTGGAGATACCACTAGGAAAAAGTAGTCAGTCTGAAATCGGATCTAGGAGTTTTAGTTTTGGTAAAATGACCACAAATGAAGCAAACTAGCGAAAGAAAACCGTCCAGCTTACTCAGAATTGGTATTAATGTATTTCTGTATACGTGGTTCCTTTGACGGAGAACTGGTAAATCTCTGTGATTAATGTTTCCCGGACTGACGGCGAGCACAGTGTAAAAAGAAAAATTATTCGAAGGGAGTATAGTGCAGTATGAACTGAGCTGCAGCTGCCCCCTCGACATCCCATTCGTCTGACAATTAAAAAAGACAATTTTGTTTGAAGTATTGTGAAAAATCAGTAAGTACATCCTAAGAATGCATGAAGTAAATTATTTAGTGATAAATCCTTAAACTACTCACTAAGCACTTAAGTAGTATTGTTTAGCACTCGAATTATCTGCTTTGCCACATGAAAGTCTGGGTTCTTTCGAACAAGCATCTATAACTTACGTGTCACTCATTGTGTGTGTGTCTATGTAGATGTATGGGTAAAATGAAAACAGTACAAACAAATTGATTTTTAGGGATACATTGCATGAATCCACTAGAGGACCATGAGTGTGTTACTAAACGAGTAACAACCCATATCACCTCGTGTGAACCTCAAATGTTTCATTTTATAGAACACATAATAATGCACCGTATTTTATTAAAACAACTTTTCTTAGCTTTCCAGAAGGAATTAAAATTCAAAGTTGAATAATGAAGGACATTTATCACTTTATTCCTCAGTGATGTTTGGCAGGACTATTACCGTTGATAGCTAAATGATGCACTAATTGTTTCAAGACTGTCCTTAAAACGGTTTTCTGTTTTCAATTATGTACAACTACTTTAGCCATTTATTTGTTCAAAAGGGTCGTCGTTCCGTCAACAGGAATGGGAAAAAGCTTTGATCCTTCCTTGTTGATTTATTCAATTCAATACAGAGTTTAGTTGGTTCCGTGAGAATGCCCAGGGCAATCGCATCCCGATGAAGTTCGATTTTCATGCTGAGCATGTGATTACTGGATCGGTCGATCCCACCGGAAGAGAAAATTTTGTACTGTCCAATTCCGGACATTATAGTGAAGAGGCTCGCCAAAGTATGATCAAAACAAACCAAGAATTGCTGGCTAGCGGTTCCCCACACGGTGTCCTCATTCAACATCAGTTGATAATATGGGCAGCCAAGTTAGACGATGCTGGACGATATTTTGCCGTGGCTCGCATCCCGACCGGAAACGGATTGGCGGCTATGAAAGAAATGGAATTTCGACTCGAAGTGGAACGTAAGTCGCTTCTGCTCGCAATCAACACGTGCCCGATAATCAGGTAACCGGGTGGCAAGCTGNNNTGAAATAAAATATTAGTCATTTGCCGATATCATTCCGAGTTCCAATTTGATTTAGCGTGAAAATTTGTATACTTGACGTAATGACAACAAAACCTGGAACGCAGAAGAGAAATTTGTTGAGCGGTCATTTTAACTCCGTTTGGTGTTGTAACTCTGTCAACCATGTACACATCTGCAACCTTAAAGTTTACTCTTCCACTGGACAGTTCCACTTGAATCCTGATGCTCAGTGAAAACAAGGGTATCCAGTATTGTTTGCTGATCATGAGAGAAAACTTTCATTACAACTGAAGTTTATCTGACAGGTGAGGAATACGTGAAGTGACTAGGAGTGACATTCACTTACACATACGACGTAAATCCAATGAATCTTTCTTAATAAGCGGGCAGATAAAACTGGCAGAATCTCATGGCTTAATCCAAACAAACTAAGCCTGTGGTTTAGAGGACAAGGTGGATTCAAACCATGTAATCATTTTTTTCGCGAGCAATTCCTGATCTTATATTAATTCCAAGTAAACATTCGTGGAACTTTCCCCAGTAGATGTGAAAAGATTTGGGCAGCTAGGTATCCGTTTCGTGAAAACAGTTTTGGGTCCGGATATGACAGAACCTACTTTCTGCCAAAAATATCACTCAAATAACTACAAGCAAAATTGAACTAAAACAACAACAACACGGTAGTCAAAGTCAATCATCTTAATTGACCTTATTTTTCACCTCTACTTGGACTCACTGCTTTGTCTTGTCAAGGAAAATACCAGTTGTGAATCTGTAAATGTTCTGCCTTGATTGGAAATCTACTGAGTGTACCGTCATTTCATGTGAACGGCATAGACAGAAGTTACATAACTCTTTTGAGGGCGCCCTAGTTAACTTTGATTCAAAAATATTATACCCTTACCAAATCATTCATATCATTATTCAAATCGAAGCAACCAAACGTAGGTTCCAATGTCTGTGTTCTTTTTTTGAAACTATTAAGAGGAACGGTCCTTTCAATTAGCTGTATTTGCTGTTTCGAAAAACTCGGGCTTTCCTATGCACCGTTAAATGCGCTTGACTCATTCTGATATTCGACCTTGAAGCTAATAACATACAAAAATATAGTATACTCACAACGGACAACCTTAATTTATTCCCATTAGGTGCACCGCGTTGGCCAATTCACCCACTTCAACCACCCGAATTCATCCAACCTCTTTCACTACGGAACGCTCGTCAGACATCTGGAGAAAATTGTCTCGAACTGTCCTGCACAGTGGCCAGTAACCCAACACCCCGTTGTCTTTTTTATAAAAATAATTCCCCGGTCCCAGTCGTTATTATGCCATTGTTGACTTCCGAGCAGGATATGTCCGAAGTAACTCTCAGCTCATTTTCCCGCAAATACGCTGTGATATCAAGTCCCTACAAACAAAAAGTAGCGTCGGTCTCCGTGGGCTATTTGAGACAGTTGATCCTACGCATTTCCAACCCGGTCAGTGAAGATGTGGCCACCTACACTTGCCGTGCTTGGAACTATAATGGTCGTACGGAAACCACTGTGAAAGTCACACCGACCGGTAAGTGGTTTGATATCCTGTTCACCTACCAGTGATTAGTAGCCACAAAGAAAACCACATTTGAAGTGCACGTTCATCTCTTCTCCATACCCGCATTTCATCTCAGACCTTCGAAGCGAACGTTCATATTCCATGGAACATAACATGCAATACAATTCAATATCAGAACGCCTTCAACAAACTCATTCCAGCGTTCTCAATTCGGCCAAGAACGTAGAAGATACGGCGATTACGGTAAGTGGTCGGTCGGGATGTGCTACGATTGATGTAATTGACCCTAATGGAATATCACGACCCCAATACACAAAGTAAACTGACTTCATTATGATTATTCCCTTTTAAGGGAGATCTTTTTATTTCAAGGAAGATGAAGTTATAACTAACATCAACAGTGCCTGGTGTCTGTGAAAAATCGAATGGGCTGACCCAAACATTTACCATCTAAATGACAACTAACATCTTTAATTTTGAAATAATTAATGAGAAGCACTCCAGTCTATCCCGTTTCGCTTTTTTGATTTCGTGGGAATACCTTTGTTAGCATCCTTGCTTATTTGGCAGTATCGGATGTATCTTCATCGCTTAAGGTTTTATCTAAAGAGTGCTTACTTTATAACTTTAATAATAACCACCAGCTAGACACTGACAACTTGCAGCACACAAAAAAAGAAAAAAACTGGCTAGGTCATCAATTGTAATAAACACGAAATATTGTAACAGAGTTATGTATCACTTAACACTGCACACACTTTCGTTACCACGGTTTGTAACGAACGACACGCACATTCCCTCGTACACCGAGGCAGGCAGTCAAGAAAAAACTGAACGTGACCAATTCGGTCTAGAACGTTCTCGTACACTTAGGCCAATTAATGAACCGACAGTGGTGATGCTTTTTCCAGACCTGCACAGAGATCGCGAACGGCTATTGATATAAGGAGCCCTTCCTGGAGAAATAAATCGATGTATTGTAATCAGGTCGGTCAGGAAAGGATTATCGTCTCTCAGTGTGCACGTCAGCGCCAGTACTCGTGTTCTGTAACCACCAGATACGGATATCGCTTCGGTGGTAGCGACTACCGAATAATGAAAGACTTTGGGGAATCCGCAGCCATAGCTCATAGAACTGAGGGATTTTAGAAAGTCCTGCTCGTTTCTGAGGTGATCAAAGAGCAAAGATAAGCAATCAAAGATGAAATACAAAATATCCCTAGGCAAATACCCGCTCATATTTTCCTCTCAAAATACAGTTTGCATAAGCTCTTTGTGTGTAGAGTTTCCGTGAGCTGCCATCCTTGTTTTTTTATCATTTGGTTTTTCTTTTCGAGATCATAAAATCGGATTGAAATCGAAACTTTTTATTCCCTGAAGCTGTACCAGCTACAGCGACAGATGCGATTTATCGAGACCTATTTACGCTGGGTCTTGGTAGAAGTGAGTTCAATTCCCAAGAAGTCATATGTTGCCCTCCCAGTTTGTGAAAGGATTTCGTTGTATTGGTGAATGGGATTGTACTGTGTAATCAACCTTTTGCATGGTCCACTCGCTGGGGCTGAACGGGTTGATGCATGGCCATATAAACCTTGAGGGTCTCTTCAGTTCGTGGATTTATTTTTTCAGTCGCACAGGTCAGTGTTTGGCTAAATTGTTCATTCGAGAATAGCGTGGAATATCCTGTTGGTTTTGGGGTATTAAGTGGTTATTCTTTTACCAGTAAAAATATTTCGAAACCAGTTCGGTACAAGCAATGATGCATGCCAGTTATTGCCCCAAATTTATGATCCTGGAAAACCAATGAGGAACCGGGTGAGATTACACCAGTTTCGCTGAAACGCGAATGGTGCACGTAACAGAATGATCTTTAAAACCCAGAACACAGCAATCATTGAGTTCTACAGTCCACAAGGCTGAATAGCCTTCAATTAGGTATAATTATTGAGTACCGATTTGGATAACTGAAGTCCTCGATAAAATTTCTTCAGGAAAAATAGCGCTAAGGACCAGGAAACAAAAACTCTTTCGAGAGTGCTTAGTACCAAGCCTAGTTAGAATAGTCCGTAAAACTCACCCTGAGTGATTCAAATAGTGTTTGGCTACGCGCTGATGTCAGCCATTCACGCCGTCATTTTATGTTACCCGCTGTGGATTGGCATTTATCTCTGAACATTTTTATTGCCAGTAAGTTCACACCAGTTTACAGATGAACTATAGAATGCGGAAAAATGGTAAAATCACTAAGTGATTCAGGGTATGAATTTGTCATTCTTTTTTTAATGAAGTTAAGGCCTTCCTCGGTATTTGCATATAAATTAGCTTAGATGAGAATGATCCGACTGATATCGTTATTTTATTGCCATGCATTTTTAATTAGCAAAACAATTTGCTTGACCGTAAAATCGAGACTAATTGAAATTAATAAAAACGAAATAAAATTGACTGAATTGTAACCAAGGGAAGTATCCTTGGTTTAAAAGCATTTTTTTTTCTGTTCATTGGGGAAAGGCAATAGAAGCTGGGATAATATGACATCGTCTTCAGTTCTCACATTTTTCTCTTCCGAGCTCAATAGATGGTGTACGCGTACTCGTGAGAGGTCGTTGCATGATCATTCTGTTATTTGCTTTCACTATATTTGTGCCATGGATGTAATTCTTACTCGGGCTTGGTCCATAGTACGAGAAAACGTAGCACCGGACTCGTTTCGTGATTTGCATTGCAATGGACTTGTCACCGCTTATGATCAAAAAAGAAACGGGTTGCAAAATGAAAATTGCTTCCATTGATCATTCAGCAAGCTATCTTTTGCAGCAGTTGTTTGAAAAAAATTACCGACCCCTTATCAGGCATGCACTACTAGTACGTGCAAACTTGATACTTATGAGTGGCTTTCTCGCCAGGATTATCGTGGCATCAGGGCACAAACATTCAGAAAAGAAAATTCACCGCTACAAGGCGCACAAAATATTGATTTGAATATTAGGCAGCAGAAAACTAAAAAGAAAATAATGCTATCAGCAAACCACTCACGGAAAGTATGTCACCTTACATAAGACTCACATTTGAACCAAATAAGTATTTTACTTACGAGAAACTTGAAAGCAGTCTAGCGTGAGATCACTTTAAAACTAGGCCCACAAATGAAAGATTTTTTCCTGCTTAAGAAATTTAGGTTATTGATTACTAATAGATATAGAAAATTCTGTTATCAACCGATCGCATGAATTACCTGTACTCTGTTGTTGGTGTGGGCTTACATCGTGTTCCCATATCTCGCCACCCCAAGCATCCGCGATAAACACAGTCTACAGAAAAGATCATTCTTGGCCCCGTGTATATCAGTTGTTTTTCAGATTTGGTAAAGGGTGTTTTAACAAACATGCAAATGGGTTAAACATGGAATGCAGTACTGGTTTGAAGAACGTGAACAGAATGGATTTGGAAACCAAAGGTAAATAGTGATTGCCCAGTGAAAGGAATTACTTTCGTGCTCCTATCACTCCTGGCTTTGAAAGACTTACCTTCCCTTGAAGCACTTCTCTGTCATTATCGTCGACATCAGTAGCAACAGCATGAACTGTTCATGTTCTCCTGGCCCATTCTGTTACGCCCTCGGTGTTTCTTCCTGTCTTTTACAGCACGGTGACATTCTGGGAACAAACCAAATCGTTTCAAACAAACCACCCCTAAGTCCCGGTCGAATGTGAGTGTCTCTATTATTGTATAATGTTAAGTTTGAATCACTCGAGTTTAATTATTAGTTCAACCAATTCTTCCTGTTGGAATTTTTTCGAGGGAACTATATTTTAGATACCCCCAGTTCAATTTAGTGAACTAGAAGTTGGATCAACGCAAATTCTATATCAGTATCTACTTTTTACGATGAAAGTGGAACGAAACTAACAAAACCCCGCTCTTACTCGTTGTCGAGCCGATCGAATTCAACTTGGGTTCTTACGAAACCGCGTAAACAGCGTTCACGACAAAATGGAAGGATCACTGAGACTAAATCGAAGATAGGTAGGGAAATTTAATGTAACTACACTTTGACAGAAACCTTTCGTGAGAGGTGGGACTCTTTCTATGGGGAAAATTTATAAACAGATTGGATAGGAAATAAAATCGTGGATATACAAACATTTTATAACGTTTTGGACAGGCATACATATAGTGCTCAAACCTCTCAAAGAATATTTGAGTTACAAAAGATCTAACGCTTCTCCATCGCCTGAAAGCAGTACAAAACCAAAAATAACTGCTAGAACGAACACTAGCCGGCAACCGTCCAACGAATAGCTTGATGCAAAATCTTCGCACTTAAATTTTGGAAATAATATCAGATTACAAAATTCGATGTTATACCCAAATGTTGTAAATTCAACGACGTTGCGACAGTTTTTTATGATGAGTAACCTCAGTGTTGATGTAGCTTCGGTGGTGTCATTCAAACAGTCATACAGTTATAACCTTATGGTCAGAAATCACAAGAGGTATTAAATATTTCTATCATGTTCTCAGCTCAGTTTATAAAATTTCATCCCACTTTCTCTTATTGCAGTCCCTTATTGAGTCATTTTTCACGTCTCTGTATTATTTTTTGTAGTATCATCAACAATGATACATCGGACCGAGTAAGCATCGCTGATTTATATCCAACTTTAGAAGTTCCTCACGTGATGTGGTCGTCCCTTGAACCGTAACCGCTTTTACTCATCATTTAATTGCTTCAGTAACCTTCGACTAGTTTGAAATTACCGATTTGATCTGTCTCACATTTTCTCCCCAAAACTATTTAGCTCTTTGAGGTGGCTGAACAATCTATGAGTTTGCACTCACGTGTCCTTGACTTGGAACGTCGATTTTACTCCCACTCCTGTTCGTCCACTGTCCCACGTGATTCGGTTCCGGTGCGTAGCAGTTCACGTTCCATCGCACGTCCTTTCCGCATGTGCTTGGGACAGAAGCCAAAAATGAAGACTCATCAGAGTTTGACTGAACGTTCCACCGTCTGTGACGAACTGCGGTCAGAATTGAGCGACCTAGTTGAAGATGTGTTTGACAATGAAAAAATGGTAGGGCAGAGCATGCGCAACTGAGTCTGGTGGTGGGAATAATGTATATAAACATATATACGTATATGCATAACCGCGTTTAGTTTATTCATTGTTTCCCGTATATCCCTGAGAGCAGCCCTATTTCACTGACGAATTATCATCCGTTTATTGCAAACTACACTGCATCGAACCGCAATAAAGGATGTCAAGGTTGAGAAGCCAGTACGACTGCAATCTTTCGGGGCAGCCACATTTAAAAAACGGACATTAACCAGATGTCGGTTCTAGTAACTGAGTTACATTCATCTATGAGCTTATCTTACGGTTAAGTTCAAAAAATCACATTGTCCTTCGCTGTCTTCAGGTAGATTATAGCTCATGATGGCTCCATAAAATACGGCTTGAAAACCAAATTCCACGGGCACGAAAATCAGATTGCTGTTGCGGAAAACCGATTAACCTATCCTATTCAGTAATCCATTGCGTTAGGTCGGGAAGAAGGTAGGTGGGTCAAATCGTACCTTCTATTGGTCATCCTATTGTGTGTATGTGCGTGTGTTGAATATTGATAGGTTTCGATGGTTCAACGGATTCCTGCCAACTGTCACCTCATAAGCACGACCAATAGAAAGTTGCAATACTAACCGAATCACCCACCCAAAAACGGTGTTTATAGCACAACAAGTCAATTATACAATCCCTACTTACCTCAACCGCTTTTTTGACTTGAAAATCCCATTGTAATCTCACATCTAAATTACGTTATATTCATTTTTCTGGTAAACCGCATGCCTCATTCTTTTTGATTATGCATACCTTTTATACGTTTACCTCGCACGTTTAAAAAATAACTTTATATCCCATTACGCTTACCACTTTGCTAACTATCTAACTAATTCATTTGCCATAGTTCACCTCATATCCATTTCCAACTCGAGCACATTATTTACCGCATATTGTACCTCTAATCCTTGAAAAATTAACCGCTTAGATGCATCACATTCCATTCCAACCCTATCAAATTTAGATTCGCTCACTATCTGTCGGGACCCCTGTGTCAAGAGACTTTGTAGAGGTAATTCAATGACTCCGGCANTATTTTTCTATGATCCTTGCTAGCCTCTGTTTCTCATGCTCATTAGACCCATGCCTGATCATTTCGTGCCAGTGTATTAGTTGATCTGTTAGCAGTCAACACAATACTGTGGTCGGAAATAATCTATAGACCCTACCCCGTCACACGTCAATGAAGAGATGACCTTCCAAAAATAAGGCTGATAGTGTAATAGCAGTTGCCTCTCAATCCCTTCATTCCCCATCTTAATGATAGTCACCAAGTTAAACCCCCTGCCCGACTGCGAAAACAAAATGTTGCAGATGTCACATCTACTCTTCTACCTGGTGTACCCTTTTCCCCAATACAAAAACGCACGCACAAACCTAATGTGGAAAAAATGCCCTAGACAATCCACACTGTTGCTTCGTGCACTAAGAGTATATATTCAATAACCCTAGCGTGTTTAAGCTAACTGGTAACTTTTCACATCACGAAAAATCTTAAACCATTTGTTGTTTAACCCGATGTGCCAGATAGGGTGGAATACTCACCTCGATTACTATTCCCCCCCCCCTCCTACGAACTTTCCTCACAAAAAATATTGCACATATATAATTAAATGCAGTTAGTGAATCCATTCACACTCGAAAGGGACATTTTGATTACGATTCGGTCTGTAGTAGTAATTCTAACTTTCCACTCGGTACTAGTTCATTGCCTGCAATCAGAATCCTTTTGGTTGTGTCCATTTTGCCGAAGTTATAAATTCTCATCCCAATAGTACTTTTATTCAGTTTAATCTGATAAAGGTCACTTGTTAACCAAGGATAATGCTGTGAATCATGAGCTGGTAATGCGTATAATCCGAGAAACTTAGCAGCGAAACCCAAACTGGACAACTGGGTCTCTTCCAACCAGATTTCTTGTTAATACAGAAGTTCAAAACCATATTGCCTTACCCCAATTACCATGTCTTGCTTTACGCAACAAAAACTTTACAACGAAAGCATTGAAGCGCTGTTTGTTCGGTGATACTTGGAGAAACACATGATAAACTGTAAGTTTCAAAAGTGTAGCAAAACAGCGCCATCCGGGAACCAACACGATGTTCAAAAGCATACTCCCCGGTCTTGGTTTGTTTGTTCGCTGAAGTGGATCGATAAGACAAGGCTCATTTCAGTTGACATTATAGGTAGGAAAAAATTTGTTCTCGTACAAATACTCGGAGAACCTGAAGCATACGCCAGCGTAGAAAGGTAGTAGTCATAAGATAAAACTAACTGTGTATTGGACGTTAAAGGGAACTGGATTGATATTTCATCTAGGTTGGGACTCGTCAACAGAAAGTATTTATTCTGATCTTGCACGGGACTCGAACCGTGACTGTCAGCAATATCTCTGACCACGCAATGATTTCTTATTGGATTCAGAGAAGTGTACAATTTCGGCCAAACTTTCATTTAGTTTGGCGTAGATAAAGTAATTTGATCGGGTTGAGGTTGTTGTATTTTGGCTAGCTTCACTCTCTCTATCGTCCTATTTCACTTGTCTCTCCACCTCTTCGTGTCACAGATTCCATTTCGTCATCACAGCAATACAAGTTCCAGTCCACCGGTGACAATTCGACCGTACACGCGTCGAGAAGTGAGCATTGTTCTGAACAGGCAGACGACAGTCAAAGTCTTCCTTGTCACAGTTATAGACATAATGAAAATTTCGCATTAAATTTCGTGTTTAAGTGAGAAGGAAGTGGAATAATAAAAAACCGTTCTCCAATCAATCAATGCCATCAGATCAGGAAAACAGGTCGTTGAAAAATTAAATATTTTCTATTTTATAGTTTTAATTTTGCTAGGTCGTGATCAACTCGATCGTAAACGAACTCCTCCCAAAATTTGCTATGTGCAGTATGCACAGCATAGATCATCCTTTCGGGAGAATCAAGAAAAAAAGCTGATGCGCAAAAGTACATTTGGACGATTTCCATTACACGTAGTTCGAGTTCAGTTAGAATAATATTTGCCCCCATACATGCTTATCATCTGTTGCACTGTTGAAATCAATACAGAAAATAACTGCCTCAACAAGCCACTGTTTGACCAAATAGAACAAGATCGCATTGTTTTAATTTCTTATTACATCTTCCGCAGGTATTGAAAATGAATGCGTGTTTATCCCTTTACTAAAAGACCTAAAATGCCTTTCTCCTTAGTTTTTATCACTTAGCTCATTGGTAATAATAACTCACCATGAGGGAACGAATAGTCTACTATACTTTATTCGACGAAATCTCCACATTTTTCAATAGTAATTGCATGTTTAACTAATACTAAAATCGTGTTGTATGGTTAAAAATAGCCCGCAGGGCTACCAGGCCTACAGAGAGAGAGAGTTACCAGAAGAAAACATACAAAGACAACCATAGTTCGGGTTAAGTAAGAGTCATAGTCCTGTTTGAAACACGAAAGTACAAGTTACAGCCGCACTTGGCAGGATTAACCTTTATCAACAAATTCAACCTCGAGGCCTACAATTGTGCAAACAATTCTCCTGAGGCCCTGGAGAGTAATCGATGTATCACTTCCCGTAGCAAGGATTTGAATAGCTACCGACGCTGAATCTGTCATAGTTGGAAATTTGGAATGAACTGGCATTGCTAACTCCATTCGAATTTTCTATGTGGTAGAGACTACTAGCAACCGCGCGAAACCTGAAGAATAGATGACTGGCAAGAGCTTTCCATAACCAACCGAATTTTCTAAATACAGTTTGATGTTCTTTGAGCAACGAAGGATGCTAAGCATGACAAGCAATACTTAACTACCTACTTCATGATGGCATAAGCAAATTTTGACTGAATTCTCCGACCGGCCAACCACACATTATGTCCGTGAAAACAGCCGTTGATAGTTTGCAATGGCGGATTCCATTTACTGTTACTCTCCTGCTCACGGTTACTTCTTTCAAAGGGGTTAGTTTCAAACCTCGACTTAAATAACTGACGGTACTGTTCAGATTCATTATATACGGCCTCGTGAAGATTATGTTTCCAGGACTTAATCCAAATCAAGAAGTTGGGGTAGGTAGATCCTCTCTCAGTACTATAAATTATTTGTTGATTTTAACTGTCTGAAACCCACCGTCGTACCTAGTAAAAAAATTCGGTCCCATCAACAATGAATCCCTAGGAGAGTTTAAAATGTTGTTAAACCTATTGACTTCAGCAGTGTGCATATGCAGCTTTTATTCGCAGGATACAAACCTGGAAAATAAAATAAAGTATTCGATGCTCTCACACTCAGATCAAGCGCCACATATACCGCCAAGATAAGTGTGCTGGTTATCTGATCGTTTGTCTATGAACACTTTTATAGCCTATCGGAACTCTTTTCAATGCAACAGGGGAAGTCATCATGTAAAACTGACCTCGACTCATCCTACAAATCACACACTCGAGGAGAACCGGATTCAAGGTTAGGTTTCGTCAATCGTGGAAAACTACTGATTTATTTAGTTTAGTCCCCTGACCACCCACATAAAACACTTGTGTAAGTTACCACTTTATCAACCAGCTGTTTGCTAAGCTAACCAGAAGCACCGATCGGGAAGATTTTGTGCTTTCATCTTCAATGATTGTCGTTCATTTGACCGGACAGTAAAAAAATGAAGATACATATGATCACCTGTTAACTCATATCGAAAGCTCGCTCTTGTATCATGTCTGGATGAATGCAAGATTCTGTGTAAGGAAAAAATCCGAAGGACGGTCAGTTAACGTTACCAGTAACTAACCCCACATCACTACTCACAAGTAATCGTGAGTGAAAATGCAAAATTGTTTCAAAAAAACTGAAATTCGAAGGAATTTCAGTTTTTTTGAAGACCAATTCCTAATCTGCAAAAACAGACTGTAACTGTGATATGTATCACACCGTGAAAAATTCATGAAAAATGGCTTACTCAAAGCGTATTATTGGGTCAACTATGTGTTGACTGTTTCCCTAACTGATAAAACGACCAAAAAGGGGAACAGAGTTTCAACATCACAAACCGAGTGTATTTTCTGCCACACGGCGAACCCGAATGTACCTTTAGCAGAAGCGAAATTCCTAAAGTGCTGTTAAGTGTACAAAGCATGGGAATCTGTCGCCAACCGAAGTGTGAACTATGGAGAGAGTGCGAGCGAAAGAAGGAGAATTGGCCACGTAAGAACAATGCGTTCAGCTCTAGGTGAAGATGATCCATCCACCGGTTTGTTTACCTTGAACAGAATAATTTGCTCCAGCTAATTGACACCCGTCAGCTCTGTATGGTAAGGAACTTTTAACTAAATTTTACACAAATTCTTCTTAAAAATTGGAATAAAGCTGATTTTGATTTTGTGATCTGTGATAATGGTTTTCATGATCATCATTACCGTATCTACCAACCTTACGATTCAGAGTGTCAACCAAAGTGGATCAAAGGGTCGTTCACCGGTAAACGCCTTCCTTGTGACACCAACCGGAGATTCGCGAAAGTACAGTGTAAGTGTATGCAGTATTCCCTTGATCACCTTTGATGGTGGTAGTAGTATAAGTCGCAGAAGGAGTAGTACTGGTAGTGGTAGTAGTGGTAGGAAGAGGAGGAGGAGTGGTGGTAGTGGTGGGGATGGTGCCGGTGCTGGTACTGGTGGCGGCATTGCTAGTGGTGGTAGTGCTTACGCACAATTTGCAATCTCTATCAAGCATATATATTTAAACAATTATGATAAAAATCATGTTTTGTTCAACGAAATACTCTAATTTCACAAAACAAACACGAGCAATAAATTCACAGAACCCCGTTGTGATTTTTCCACTTCATTTTTTGCGTCCCTCTTGACTAGGCTGAACCTATACCCCTATCAGATACTCCGATTTCTCCGACGTCAGATGTGGGAAGTGAAATTTCCAGTATTATCAGTTCACCTTTCCAAAGAAACAGCTTACGCCGATCCAGTGCCCCGAAAATCGTCATTGATCGACGCTCTCAACGACGTCGCACTCGATCAAGAGGAGGAACTACGACTGATGAAAATGCGATAACCAAGCTTTGAAGACACTAAATATTCGTGAGATGGAGTAAATAGCATCCTGTGATTCTACCCATTTATTCTTGTTTCTTTGTGTCTTTTGTGCATCCATTCATGAGAAAAATAACACAAGCACGATCTGATGCAAATTTCATTTCGAATGCTTTTTTACTGCATTCCAGCTCGCTCATTGTCATAGACCACTGAATTAACAAATGAATTTTCCAACCTGTTCTTTTTTCACTCGTGACGGGTTTCAGTCATTTGTTCGGTTCTTCCTTACGAAATCCGGTCGAGTCGAGGATGGGTTAGGCGAAATACATTGATTACCTGCGATAGAGTTCTCACTTCGCACTCAACACACAAACACACCTGCTGACACACTACGTCCCCCTGATCAAACATGCATACCGTACACTCAAGTCAGTCACTGTGTGACTTCCCATCCACATCGACCCCAGACATACCCCAGCCCTGATTGATGGTCCCTTTATCGAGCTCTTATCTAATAATTCTCCAAATTGTATATCTAACTAAATATACATTTCTTTCTCGTCTTTGTGAGACCGTGTTCTCAAACAGACACGTATCAAAATTCACGTGTTTGCCTCATACACATTCATTTTAACGTTTTCTTTGGTTTTCTTTTCGTTGAACAATGCAACAACAGGTAGAATTTTATACTGAGCTGTACAACAATCGGTATTCGAACAAACCTGTTTCAGTAATATAATTTATATTGTGGGAAAACCAAAGGATTATTCTTGTTTTGCTGTTTGCGCCAGTGTCCATGATGTTTCTGAATGGGTCAGATTCTTTTCAGTCGGGTGGCCAACCAATCAGCTGGTTTAAATGAAAGTAGCCAAACATCCACAACCTGAATGCATATATATATATATATATATATATATATATATATATATTGTACCGCAATGAATCGTATAATAGCGTTTGTACGTTTAATTACTTATTTCAGAGTGAATGTGTCTCTTAAAAGAAGCTAAACCGGTCTCGCGGAGCAACAGTTGCCAAGCCCAATGATTGGTTGCGGTCTCTCCACAGAGTGCGATCCAGACTTTCCAGGGCCATATTTGAAATAATGTGCTCCGAGCTACAGTAAATTCTATCAGTCAAGTTTTCAGCAGCCCACCGTAGTTGGCATTGGAGTCAGTCCGAGCGGTGAGTGCTTTAGTCAAGTCAAGATCAGGTTTGCGCAGACCATGCAAAAAAAACACTACTGAGTAATCGGCGCACAATTGTGCTTGACAGCGTGATACCGAGATAGAAGTTTGTGGTTGCTTTATTCGAAACGCTACTAAATGAAAATAATTCTTAGAAGCCAGTGTTCGAATCCTTCCTGTTGACGACAGCATTCAACTAGAGAGTTCGTTTAACTCGGTAAATCAGGACATCGAACAATTAAGCTTTCGAATCATCTTCAGCCTATAAGAACGTTAAAGAATTGGGTCTCGGTTTCTACCGATCTTGTCGTCGGCTAACAAGTGTGGACAGCAGATTCTCTGCTCTTCGGTTCAACACAACATCGAGTGCAGTGTTTCTTCGGTTCAAGTCTAGTGACTTGGGTAGCCTTTCTTCGTTCATCACATTACGGTATCTAATGAAAAATAAACAGTGATGAGTTAAAAGATACAAGAAACCCCACTTATTCGCATGCATGTGCCAGTTGCAGAAGTGTAAAAATGGTCATAGTGTCCAGGACCGTGACGGTGAAAACGTGAGAGATGGTGAAATGCAAAAGGTAGATTGTTTCGTCAGAGACTTCTTACAAAGAGATTCGCCAGATCAATCAGGAGTACAACCCTTCCAAAACTTGTCGGTGGTGAGTGAAACGTAAACTTTACATGAAAAATGCAATTTCTTGAACGTTTGAGTCACGTGGACGAGTTTTGCATGAACTGGCGATGGATGAGAACTCGATAAGTCCCCGCGTGAATCTTTTACACATTTTCCTGGCAGGTGCTCGGATAGATAGATGAGTAGGTAGGTGATGAATATCAATGAAAAGGTTTTGGCGAGACATAGATATATTACTAATTATTAATATTTCACGAACTAGGAAAAATTCCCTGTGATCTCCCGACTGGTTTTGCTTTGAGCGAGGCTCATCTAGTCACTCCCATACTGGATTTCCCAGTGGATATTTTCTTCACAAACCTATAATGATTACAACATATTTCATAAATGGCATTCCACCGAGTTTGTCGCCGTCGGTAGCTACTAGCCCGCAAAACATTAATTCAAGTTATCGCTTTGATCCATCAATTACTGCTTTCAATAACATGTACACAAAAAATGCCCCATGTGGATAATTAGAGAGTTGTGAAGATATCACCAAGGCTAGTGATGAAATGTTTACAACCAAACACTCAAGCTCAGTGTGCGGGCATAATCGAAAACGATGCAGGCAGAAACCGAGACAAACAACCGATGGCACTGACTTTGTTTATAGTTCCTTGATGTGAAATTTTCCCCAAGGGAAGAATCTCATTCAGTATATAACTCCCTCGGATGGATACTGGTTAGATGTTCTCAACGGTGTAACAAACAACGTCATACGACGGAAAGGAAGAGAGCGTGAGGCTGCTTATTGTTTTGATTTAACAGACGAAAGTGCACCAATCGTCCAGGTGTGGTCCATTTTAATTTGGAAGAATTATCAACTTAACACCTGATCGCTGTATTCAACTTATTCTCCTGGTTTATGGAAAATAGAAGCAGAAAACACATTCAACCCCAGAAAATCCCAATTCAGGTTTTCTAATAAGCATTATTGGAACAACGTGGATCACAAAGGGAATGACGGATTATTCGAGCGCTTTGCTTGTCAATTGCTCCCGTTTATCTGATAATCTTCAGTAAGTTTTTTTCACATTTCGCCAGCTCCGATTTGTATTGGAAGGGAAAACTATTGCTCTTTCGCATCAGGAATTTCTTTGCAAGTTCATTTCATGAGTTATCCACTCGTATTTCCCTACAACATTCAGATCTATAGATTCGTGCTATAATAATTGATGTGATAAATGAGAGTGATGGACCGTTACAGAATTCGAAAATAAGCCCATACTAAATAACTTAGACAAGCAAATGAGCAAATGGCAGCAAAACTATTACACTCCAGTATGAACGATGTGATGATATGCTTCAGTATGACATCTGACCTTGTAAGTTGAGGTTTACAGTTGAGGATTCAATATGCCCTACGGTCTGGTAATTCGACATCGTCGGTGCTTCTTGGTCCAACATTCAAGCAAGCGACTCCATTGTTCTGCTCCTTCGAAGCAAGTGATGTGCACTGTCCGGGATCTGTCACACCTCTTGAAGGTGATCAGTATTTATTTGCAACAGGCTAAAGTTTGAACTGCGAAGCAAATGTGTAGATTATCACTGAGTGCTTCTTCTCACGAAATGGGCAGTCGTTCAATCAATACGCTATCCCAATTTGTCTTGGCCCGGCAGCTCTGTTCTACCTGATCAAAATGGAACCTTAGCACCATCTCTTTTTTCTACAAAACCCATATCAGAAAATACTATCGCTTCTCACTGAGTGTTCTACGTGAAAAACACATAACACATTTGTATTGTATTGTATTGTATTATATTGTACTGAAGATTTAGCGAGTTTATAGAAGCTTTCAGCCAAAAGAGACCACCGTCACAATACGAGCAAAAAAGCGGGAGCAAATGGGATAACAAGTGTGAAAAAAAGGAAATAACTACTAACTGTATTAAAAAGCTCAGAACGAAGACTATTCATTTTGATCAGTGTCCGGACAACATAGGGTACTAAAGAGTCTCTGTAAGCAGATATCCGAGATGGGATGAGTGTGTATTTGGAACGGGTGAAGATTACTTTCATTGGTGACAACTGGGCACTTCACATGACTGACCATGTTCATCGGCTTCTCTTGAATCTGTACATTGTCGGAGGGAGATGGGGAACGGTTTAAAGCATAAATTCAATCTAGAAAGTTTTTGGGATTAAGAATTAGACCTGGTAGAGTGGGTTATGTAAGTCATATGCGTTTTATGCAGCCAGTTCTGATTGGTTCGATACGGAACCAGAAATGACGAGATTATCAGCATACTTAAAATGTCGCATAGATGGAGTAATAGGAAATTCACTGATATAAGTGGCCAAAAAATAGGAGAGGGGTAATAAAGTGGCATTTTGAAGCAAACCCGAATTACTGAGCGACACCGTTGACTGTCTTCTCCTCAGTTTAACATACTGATATATTTATGAAAAGCAATTACTAAGCCATTGAAAAAGAAAAATGGGACGAACAAACGATTGGAACTGGTTAAGTAACAGGGAACGGGGCACCGAATCAAAAGCGGAAGAATAATCAACAAATGCACTGTGCACCTATTTGGTTTTCCCGTTTGGGGACTTGTGGATGAAGTAAACTAGAGCAGAAGAGGCATCTTGAGTGGTTATGTTTTTATGCAAACTGATATATGTTGTCGGGGATAGTTGAGAGATTATTGAAAGTGATACAGAACTAACGGCTCCATCAACTTCAAACCAGTGAAAGTGAGAGCTATTTGCCTGAAACATTTCGCAGTTGGGGTCTTTGTAGTTCCTTTGGGGATATATTTAATTTTCACCGGGCGTCAGCAATCCGGAATAATTCAGAGTTCGAGCGAAAGATTAATTGTGTGAGAAAATGTGAGACAGTGGTTCAGCACCGTGTTTACCAAATGTAGAACTTGAGTTGTCCGGATCAGGTGCGGTGGACACATTCAGAGGACATATGTGTTTTCAATTTTCACTAGAGGTAATGGGTTCAAATGAGGATGAGGTGTTTAGAGAACTCGAGTCAATATGACTGGAGCATATTTAGGACAAAATATGAATAAATGTAGCATTCCATTGAAAACTATAAATCATTTTCTTCTACCTGTAGAGTAGCCAGTTTCTGCGCCATGTAGATTTACAGTTCGCTCTCCCAAATAACTGACTTATACGAAGGAAATCTAACCGCCTTATTTCACTCTTTATC